GATGTTACAGCAAAAGTTTAGGTGCATCTGTAGGTTCTGTCCCAGGGCAGCAGTGCCGTTGCATAAAACAATCAGCTGGAATTGAGCTCAGTTCAATGCTGTTAGAGGCTTACCATTTGTCACTTCCAAATATTATGATTTATTTGCTTGGGTTGCCCCACTGATGTGGAATTCTTTGCTTTCTGAGGTTTGTGGTATTAACTTAAAGTTCTAAAACCACAGCTTAATTTTTTTTTTAATTTGCTATCCTCCTTAACCCACCATATAGTATTTATAATAGTTTTAGGTATGATGCAAGAAGAATTTGTTCAGCAATGCAAAGAAATACTGCACAAGGGTTTAGGATAGTGTATATGTACTGGATGTTGGATGATAACATGAAAGGACTCCATGCTTGTAAATCTAAACTGGCTCTTTATTAAGACAACTATCTACAGAGATGCTGCAGCTAGTATTCTAACCACGTGCACACAGACTGACTTCCTGGTGCCTCCTGCAACTGGTGCTCCCCTCTCCAAGTTTTTTGCTTTGTGAGATTCATGGTGCTGCAATAGGCGCTCCTCCTGATTGTAATGTAGACATATCTTCTGTATTGGGTTACTATCCGGTCTCTGGGGAGGGTGTATTGCATTTACCCAACATTGTCAGGGAGGGATCCCTTCCTATCTGTTTTGCCTTTGCCATCAGTCTCTTGGCTGTCTTTATTGCCAACTCCGTCTTCTCATTCCTTTTTGGGTATCTAGAGGAAGATACGTTGTGCTCAAATTCCCATTTGGCACTGAATTGTTTGTTTGAATTCTGGTGCAGTGTACTGTCACCTACTGTCTGAGCATAGCATGCCAAGTATGCCATACCTTGCAAGATGCAACTTTAATTTTCTAATCACAGTCCTTACCTGAGTGTCCTCTGGAGAGATCACTTCTCAGAAATTGGAGAAGTCTACTGTTACCATGTGGTTCCTGTCATTAAAAGTGATCAGGTCTGGGCCAGTCTTTTCCCAGGGTTGGGTGGGATTTCATGAAGCTATAGAGTCTCCATCTGTTGCTTGTCACTATACTCTTTGCACACCTCCCACAGTTCCATACTCTGTTGGGCATTCATGCCTGGCCATTAGATACATTCCATGTTTCATCTCATATAAACCTCTGTCCCCAGGTGTGAAGCGTGTATCCATCTCATTATGTCAGCTCTTAACTCTGCTGGATTTACTGCTTTGTCTCCTTTAAACAAAATCCTGTCTTGCATGTACAGCTGATGATTCATGTGGTAGTAGTGGGTAAACTCCTGTGGCATTTGCTCCTTGCAATCTGGCCAACCCTGGAGTATGACCTTGCATTTTTTTGAAACTGCATGTAGTACCCAGCGCTGTTTGGTGCTGTGTTAGAATGCCCGGAGCCTCTCATCTGAGATTTGAAGGTATTCTGATAGACTGTGTGTCCTGTTCCACAGGTATATGTGTTGTAGTCTGGGAAGTATGCCCTGCTAGGCAGTGCTTAATTTGTGCCAGGACTTTCCAGAGCTGAGCCCTGGCACCTCTAGGCTTGGCAGTTCATAGCCCCAGCACTTTTGGGCTTGCTACATCAGCTATGAATGTAAAAAAATTGCTTGAGCCCTGACACCAAATTGCTTGAGCCCTGGTACCTCTTTCGTTACACTTAGCAGTAGTGCTTAATTGGTATCTGCCACTAGTCGTGACTTGCTTGGTCAGTATCTCATCCTCACATCCTTGCACTAGAGTCTCAGTGACAATAATTTGTAGTCCCTCCAAGTCCCATGCCATTTGCTACAGATAGGAAATGAAGAATACTCTAGCCAGGTGAGAATGTAACTACTTAATCTGTAGTGTTTGGCTAGAACAAAATAGAAATTTAGCAAGGACATAGAGGTATCATAGCTACTCTTATAGAAAGTGCAATAGCTTCTTTAATGACCCCGGGTAGTCAGGTTGTCAGGATGCACTTCATTCTAGGCTAGTAACATAATACTAATTTAAATATTAGAAGATACATGCCAGATTGAAAAGTAAAAAAAATAGGAGCAATTTGTCTAGTTGTGCAGGGTTACCTGATTTTCATCAGACATAATCATCTTATCTAATCAAGCTAGTTGCATTTGGGGATGTTTGTCATTTGCAGATGAATTAATAAAGTTTTATTGAAATCAGATGTTCTGTTTTGATGCATTCCATGTCAGTTCTGCTCTTGAAAAGTTGCCAGAAAAATTTACAACTTTATAGTGAATTGAAAGGTTTCAACAATGCAACTAGCAAATAACATGTTTTTATTAAAAAAAAATAATTATAAATATCAATAACGTCAGAATGTCTGCCTGTAGATTCATACATTTTTGATTTGCTGTACAGAGCATTAGGAGTGCCAGATCTCATAGAAAACACAGGGGTTTATAGTACAGACTTCGAATGTGGTCTATGTTTCTGCTTAAAAAAAAAGACAAAAGCAAGCTGTCTCACTTTAATCAGAAAACATTCTTTACAGTGGACATTTTTGAAAAGTGCCTTCAGTTGTTTCTACTAATTGTGCCTCTTTCAAAAGCCAGTATGCTGGGGGGTTTTCATTGTTTTTAAAACTTTGTGTATGGCAAGCACTGCAAAATACATTTCAGAAACCAGGTCCCAGTTAATTCAGAAATGGATTCCATCTGTGTTGACATTGGCTGCACATGTTTACCCGCTCCAGCTGTGTGAAGTAACCAGTGTTCTAAAGGGGTCGAATTCAGACAAGCACCATTTGTGTTTCATTTCCCTTCTTTTTTTCCCCACTTTCTTTTCGAATAACATTTAGACTAAAAACAAGCATTTTCATATCTCTATTGGAATCTCTTATTTATTGCTGAATAAAAGATAGCTTAGAAGCCTTGTGTCTATGCTGCATCAAATATGCATGACTCTCTAGACCAATATTTCCTAGATGAATTGGTTTAATAATAGGAAGTTCATACATATACATATGATCTCACACACACACTGGGAAAATAGTTTAAGGCTAGACTGGGACATTAAAGTCTGCCTGGGCAAGGGGAGGCATACATCCAAGAGCAGACCAGGGAGCAAACTGACCCTAAGAGTCACAATTCATTACTTAGTTTCGCCCCTTGCTCCAAAGGGAAGTAATCTGCAACTGATATAAACCATAAGGAGATTACTCCCCCCTCTTCCCTGGCTTAGCAGAACAAAGCTCTGTCCACTTGTGTGTAAGGGGGCAATACCAGCCCCACAGAGGCTGCTTTCCACACTGTGCGGTGTCCGGCAATGCAGGTAGCTCATAGCTAGCACCCATTTGCTCTCTTGTGCAAATGCATAGGACGATGTTATGCAGAAAGAATCAGTAAAATTTAGACATAGCGTGAATTTGAGGACCTGAAGGGAGGGATGACACCCAGGTTACAGACCTCTGTGACAGGTGGGATGGTGGTGTTGTCCCTAGTGACTGGGAGAGGAGGTAGCAGGGAGGACTTGGGAGGGAGAGAAGAGATTAAGAGCTCTGTTTGAGCCACGTTGAGCCTAACTGGCGCTAGATATCTTTAAGGAGATGTCAGGGAGACCGGACAAGATATTTGTTTTGTCAAAAGGAGACAGGTCTGGAATAGAGAGGTAGGTCTGTGAGTTCTGAGCATCCACATGGTAGTTGAATTTGTGTTTGCAGATGAGATTATCTAGAGATAAGGTGTAGAGGGAGAAAAAGATATAACATACCATACAATAAACCTATGGTATTGAAAGGAGGTATAAAAATTCAATTCAGTGTGAAACTGTAGGATTAAGATCTTACAGCAAACATGAGTGAAATCTATAAAATATGGTTGTTTTCCTACTTGTCAAAGAAATATGACAGTAATCTGATATGGTATAAATCATGCAGTACTAAAATTTACCTTGTTACTGTATCAGCCTATCAGCAACTAGTGTTTAAAACTCAAAACAGATTTGTATTTAGAAAGCCAGTATTTTAAAATTTGATCTGGTATGTGAAATATTTTTTATCAGTAAGTGTCGATTTTCTGAACTATTATATTGTCACCTCTCAGAAAGCTCTGCATAAAGTTATTTGGATTAACTCATTCATTCAGAAATGTAATTTAACTGAAGAACTAACTGATCACTGAACTATGAACTACGTGATCCACCAAAGGTCTCTTCCAATCCAGTGAATTTGGTATTAAAATGGTCTGTGCGTTGTTAGTGGAGGGTATATTTATGTCATTTTACAACATGAACATTTGTGTCTCTGTAGAACAGCACACTGTTAGCATCCTCTGCCCTGATCTTGTACAATTGTCTGCACAGAAGAATCTTTGAATGGAGATTCCATGCAAGGATAGAGTCCAACTGCATGGATTCCATTGTAGGATCCCAGGTTTACAGTTCTTAAATTAAAAAAAAGGCTTCCTTTCAAGGTGTTAGACTGCAAAACGTTTTTCACCTCTTAATATTTACATAGTAAGAGTATTTTTTAATGTAGTTTCCATCCTTCATCCTAGTTCTGCTACTCTGATGATGCTAAGTAATACTTTAGTCTGCATGTTGTCCTGCTGGAATACACTTGTAGTATTTACAGAGTAAGGTACGACTCGACATGAGCAATGGGGACAGATTTGTGCCCTTTGTGGCTTCAGAACATATCACCAGGATATGGAAGATGGTGTGGCTAAATTCCTTCTGCTGCTTTGTTAATCTCAACCACTAACCTATTATTTTATTATAACTACCCGTGGGGAGCTTGAAACTTGGACCTATTTTCTTTCCAAAAGCTGCTACTCTCCACAACCTCTGTTGTATAAAGAAGCATGACTACTTCACCTTTCCTGAGCGTTGCTTTTATGTATAATTGACATTACAAAAAGTCACAAGAGAATTAGTTGGCATTGCTAACCTTGGTAATGTTTCCATAATTAGCAGTAAACATTAGCAGACATCTTAGGTGCATTTTATTGGTCAGTGATCTGTTGGGCTTTTGATCTCATTAATTTCTTTCTTCATTTAGCCACCAGATAATGGGCCTCCACCTCTACCAACATCATCCCTTCCTGAAGGCTACTATGAGGAGGCAGTCCCGCTTAGTCCTGGAAAGGCTCCTGAATATATCACTTCCAGTGAGTAACATTTATCCTGATGCCATCCTAAACAATTGTCAGTTTTAATGACTTCCAGTGCTTTAAAACACGAAGACATAAACAAAAAAGAAAACTTCTCTCTCTTTACATCCTCTGTATTTAAGAATTATATGAAGGGCTCACTAGTGTCCGTACCTATAAGGATAGATTGTGGCTGGTTTATGACAGGGGGATCAGGTAGGCTTGCTGGACCCAACAGCAGTTTCTGATGTGAGTGACCAATACCGCCAGTGTTATCCTGTGACACTATTTCAATATCAATTCGAGTGCTACCTCCTGATTAATCACCAAATTACCTCCTGATTAATCACCAAATTACCGATTACCTCAGCACTCAGGTCTCCCATGATCATATCCAAATACTTACCCAGTCTAATCTAGCTTACATTGTCGTATGATTGGATCACAATGATAGAATGATGGTATGCCTGCCATTGAACAGTTGTGCAGGTTTAGCGAGCTGGCATTTAAGTACTAAAAGATGGAGGGTGTTTTCCCTGTGGGTTGGAGGAGGTAAAAAGGTTTCTTTTGCTGCTCTTATTTATTGTCTGGCAGAGATAATCCATCACTTCTGTATGAATACTTTTCTGCTGGATCATCGTCATTCATGACCCTAAATTTGTTAGACCATTTTTATTGTTGTTTAAATCTAAATGAATGACTAAATAAAATCTGTTCTCCTAAACAATAAAACAAGAGAAACATTATAGCACTAACAAATGATCTGTGTGCCATTTGTACACTGTGGTTTAAAGAGAGTCCTTTGTTTTTCTTGGAGAATGATATGTATGCATTAGCTCTAAACATTTAAAAAACCAAACCAAAGAAAATCTGGCCCTTGTTAATAGGAATAACTTAACCTAGGCAAAAAAATAAGAGTTCCAAAAAATGTAAAATGAATATAGACACGCTCAGCCTCAGCAGTGCTCAGGGACTTTCCACTCCCTGCTTCTCCCCCAGAAATAGTGCAGGGTGGTCCTGCTCACACCCTCTGACCCAGTGAACTGCCAGTTCATGGTTAGCTACTAAATGCAAGAGCCCAGCTCAAGGAGAAAATATTAGCTGCATTTTAAAGTACTGTACAGTAGTTGTTTCAGTGGGGCTATAACCCAGAACATGCTAACCAAATTTCAGACTTATTTTTATTAACCTTCATTACTATCCAGACCTACAGGAACATTTAGGGGAGATGGACCATCCCCCCACCTCCCATAAATCAAAGCTATAACTTTTACAAAAGTTATATGCATAACTAGCGTAACTCATAACCTATATTGTCTCAACTCTGCTGAATTCAATTACCTTTTGTATTTATCATCCACTCTTTTAACCCTTCTAGAAGAATACAAGTACTGTCAACAACTTGTTTATCTGTAGGCTCTCTATGAGCTAAGATCAAGTGTAGGTAGTCTCTTGGTCTATCCAAGGCCGTGATCAAGCGTCTTGATGTTTTTGGTCTTTTGGCCTCGAGATGAAAACCTTGTCTTTGCTTCTGGGACCTTGAAGTGAAAAAAATTCTCTAAGTTAGTGGCTAAATTCACCATAGGCCTTCTTCAGTGCTTGTTACCCATCTACTCTAGCAAAATTCCCATTGAGCTCATTTGTGCTAGCTTGTCTTATGGCTTTGTGAATAATATGAACATAAGTGACTAAAATAAAACCACCAAACTCATTTTACTTGTAATAACTGCAGTCAGGATATGGCGCTGATTTTGAGGTGGATGTGATTGAGAAGACACAGATTCTAAGGGCCCAGACTACAAGAACAGCATCATGAAGTGAAGGGGAAAAAAAGAGAGAATGCTATCTCTAATGGATTAAATAAATGTTCAAACAGATATAACTGTTTATAGTATATGTTTCTTCATACAGTAGAACCTCAGAGTTACAAGGGGATGGAGGTTGTTCATAACGCTGAAATCTTTGTAAACTCTGAACAAAATGTTATGGTGGGTCTTTCAAAAGTTTACAACAGAATACTGACTTAATACAGCTTTGAAGCTACTATGCAGAAGAAAAATGCTGCTTTTAACCATTTTAATTTAAATGAAACAAGCACAGAAACAGTTTCCCTACCTTGTCAAATCTTTTTTTTTAAACTTTTCCATTTTTTTTTAGTAGTTTATGTTTAGCACAGTATGTACTGTATTTGGTGTTCTTCTTTTTTCTCTGCTGCTGCCTGATTGCCCACTTCCGGTTCCAAATGAGGTCTGTGGTTGACCGGTCATTTCGTAACTCTGGAGTTCATAACTCCTGAGGTTCTACTGTAATAAGAATATTTTTTTCTACTATAATTAACAGTAAATAGGCTCACATCTTCCATGTTCCTATAAAAAGGTGAAAAATCCACAGGAGTATAGTTTGTGAAAACAAAATGATGGTGATTTCCCTATCTGTGGTCTGTAAATAAATATTTATCTGCAGATAAGAACAAGTCAAAGTGTGCCTCAACTGATGATGACTCTCTTTTCCATCTCCATTTATTGAAAAATACTGCTCCAGAGTGACCTGGTTTAAATTAGCTTCAGGTTAATCCTTTGAATACCTTATTGGGAATAATGTGAAAATGTATTAGGGTATTATTTTCCTTAACAATTTGTACTATTTTTGTACACAGAAAAGTATGTAATTCATAAAACAGAAACTAGAATAACCATCAAGCTCTGCCAAAAAGTGTGTGTGTGTGTGTGTGTGTAAATAAAACTAGGCTTGGAAGGATTAGGTTTTTACTGGTAAATGTCGGTGAACGTTGATTTCACGTTCATACACAACCGCCCAAAATATTTCCATTGATAACAATCAAAATTTACAGCTAGTCAAGTAAGAAAAATGCTACTTGAGAACTTATTAAAGTTTGATTTAAGGATATTAAATTTGTAAATTTTGACATGTTATGTTGACAATTTGTGCTTTGACAGTTATAAAGCATTAATTTTTTGAATCCCAGGGTCCACTATAATTAAATTAGTGTCTAACTCCCCTGTTGTCTGAACCTCCCATAATTTTCCACAACCATGAAAATTTAAAATCAATAAAAATTGAAAAAATTGCTTTGAAATAAACATTGATATTATCTGTTGAAATTATATATTAAAAAAATTGAATTCTGCCTATACAGTACCTATTAGAATGTACTGCCTCAAATGTATGCCATTGCCCTCTACTGCACAGAGCCTGGACTCAAAAGTTCGTGGGAGCTACTGGATGCTCTACACTTTTGAAAGTCAGACCACTTAGTTTAGGAACCTAAATGAGGATTTAGGAGCCTAACTTTAAACACCTTTTAAAAATAATCTTGATCATTGTGTGTGTTCCGCTAGTATGAAATTTTGAGGTCTCGCGGAAGGTCAATTCCCTGTAGGTTATAGAGACATTAATCTCTGGTTAGTGAGTGTGGATAGGCTTGAACCCCTTCCCTTCATCCTGTGTTGCTGGGGAAAAGGAGCAATCTCTCTTTTCCTTGATACCCATCAACCTTAATGTATTGTGAGTTGCCATTCTCGACTACCCTGTCCTCCCACAGTGTCCTGTCTTCTGCAGAGGGGGTGGGGAAGGTCTCACTACTCCCCCTTCCCCTAACTTTTTAAAAAATCTTTCCCATGAAGATCACCAATGTACACCTCTGCTGTAGCTCATTGCGTTGGCAAGCAGTTGAACTCACAACTTGTTTGTCAGTTTCCCTGTTGTTGCCATCAGGTTTCTGAATTGCTGCAGTGGTACTGTGTCTTTCACATTCAGGTCATACTTGGAAGGTTCTCTTTGCAACAGCAAGGACTAGAAACTTTTTTTTTTAAAGGAAAGCTTAAATCTGCAGGTTTATGGTAGAAGTCTATAAAATCATGAATGGCGTGGAGAAAGTGCATAAGGAAGTACAGAGGAGGTGTGGTGAGGAAGGACAAGGGTTTACAGTGCTAAGATTATATGGTTACTCAGTATTGATAATTGCCCTTGTTTGTACCATGATGGCAACAGTGGTTGGGGTAGTAGGGAGCCAGTGAATAAGTATTTTATGCAGGGATAAATGACCCAGCCTATGCTTTAACTCCCAAAGGGAGAACTCTGTGCCAAAACAGATGTGCCAAAATAAGATGTCTAATAAAATATGACTTGGTCTATAATTCTATTTTGTTAATAATGTGTATATATATATATACATTCCAAATCAAGACTTTTTAAATTGTTGGATGCAGAGTGCATGATGGTGGTATGTGTCTGTGTGTATGGATACTTGAAATGCAAAACTGAACCTTTAAATTGGGAGTCTCCACCGGCACCTCCATAATTGGGATATTAATAACCTTGATGAAAGTATGTGGGTGTTGTGAAGAGAAGTGCAGTGGTTAAGCAAATGACCTTGCTGAAAAGAAGTGAAGGAAACAAGATATTTGCTTGGGGCTTGAGGTAAAAAGAAACCAATTCTTCATAATACAGTAAGGAGATGACTGATAACAATGGTATTTGGTAGGTGGAACATTCTTTCGTGGAATATGAGAAAGTTAAAACATCCCATAAAATGGAAATGATTTATTAAAATACAGCGAAGACAGATACAATATTGCCTTTTGCCTCCTCAGCGTCAGATACACTAAAAATGCAGATTGGAAAGGTATTATGCTAGGCTCTCATCTGATAAGAAGTAGTTGTTGTTCTGTTCACATAACACTCTACTTCTTCAAGGTGTGTCCGTAATACAGCAGAAGAGTCTTAAATGTGGCCTAATGAAAGCAATATTGGAAGTGTGTAGCTTCTATATGCTCTCTTATTTGGATCTGATCTTTAACAAAAAGCCTTGTCAGTTCATTTTGGAGATAGAAATGATCAAATGGATGCACGCCTGTGACGAAGTGGGAATGTTCTTGATGTGGTATTTGAATGCTGAGTGCGGAATATTGACCTAGGAAGGTTGCAGGGGAGTTTTGCTGGGGCTGCCTGCAATGGGGAAGGGAGCATACCTGATCATGTAACATGAGAACCCAGGACGGGGATTGGAGGCCAGGTAACACTTCTGCCCGGGAAACTGGACAAAGGACACAAAGGCTGGGGGAGGAGCCGGGAAAAGGCCAGAAAGGAGGGGGCTGAAGGGAGTGTTCAGGTTTGGAGCTGGCTGGAAGATGGAGAGTGGTGACCCGATGGGGCTTGGGCTTCCCGACGGGGCTGTGGCCTCCCTGGGGCCTCCAGATGGACCTAACTAAAGGGGGAGGGGGCTGTTGTCGGTACTGGCAAAACCTGTTTTGGACTGTGTTCCTGTCATCTAAACAAACCTTCTGTTCAACTGGCTGGCTGAGAGTGACGGTGAATCGCAGGAAGCCGGCGGGTGCAGGGCCTGGTCTCCCCCATGCTTTGTGACAACATCATCAGGAATGGGGTCCCGTCTTCTCACTTTATTTAAATGCTATAATGGTTTTTTACCTTTTCTGCTCTCCACCACTGCTGGCCACCCCTCTGGGAGTTTTCAGATTCAAAGGGAGTCTGGTGGCAGAGAATAGAGCAGTCAGGAAGAATGGAGCTGCCTTTCAAGGAGGATTGTTAACAGAGGGATGGGCTAGGGTTCTGGATATAACTCTAGGGCAAGGGGATAGGCAGGCCTCCCTGAAAATGCTGATTTAACTACTGAATTCTGCATTTTCATGTTTAGTATAATTTCACCACTTTAACTCTTCTGTCTCTGCAGGTAACATGTGGGTGTTCTTTTGTATGTCTGAGTTTGATCAATAACCTCCTAGGCATTTTCTAATTTAGTAGTGTAAACTTTCATAGAGCTTCCTGAATAACCCCTCCAGAAGGGTGTTTTTGTTTAGGCTCTTTTCAGGGAGGTAATTAGAAGAGATGGAGATCTCACATATTATTTTACATGATTATGAGAAAATGAACAGTCTTTAATATAAAACCATTTTC